TTTTTTTTCCACACAGGTCCCAGGACAGGGTCTGAGGCCCATGTTTGAGAAACTCCTGTTGAAGAACATTTCGTCGCTCTCCGTCTCCGTGAAGCTCTCCGTAGGAGAACCGTTCTCCCTGAGTGAGGCTCCAGAACCACAGACCTGCGTCAGTGCTAAGGTACCGCCGTAAAACTGGGTGTCACATCCAACAGAAACAAACACATAAACTGGACAAATGTTTGTTTTTTATTTGTATTGGCAAGAACCTGGCGATACAGTATGTATCACGATACGATACATTGCGATATTCTTCGATACCATAAGCACATCGATATATTGAGATTTTTTTTTTTTTAACTATTTAATCGTGGGGCAACTGTAGAGAGGAAATTTAAAAAAAAAAAAAATGAACCCATGAATATTTGGATGAATATTTGACTGTTAATTGTTACTTAAAAAAACCGATACAGTGCTGTAGAATATCAATATGGCATCGTGAATCGAAGTATCGCGATATTTTGATGCATTGATATTTTTGTTATTGAGTTAACGATGAAAATAAATAAATTAAAAAATTAAATATCAAATCCTAACATTTAGGGAAAAATATTTGTGTCCCTCGTAATGTTAAGAAACATGAATGTCTGTCTTTCAGTGACAACGGGAGAAGTGAAAAAAAAATTTTTTTTAAGAATCTCATAGTGGCTTTTCTTTCTCATAAATGTTGGAGAATCCTAAGTTGGTGAAGGACACAGAGATACAGATCAGACAAACACTGTCCTCGTTTCACCATGTGACGAGAAACAGACGACGAACAAACGCTCGGAGCCTTTTCTCCAAATTCTTCATTCCGATCTTTTCCGCTCGTTCAACTTCCTCCACGCCGCGCGTCTTAAGGTATTATTGAAATGGAGTTTCTGAATTCACAATGAAAACCATTCTCAGCCTCCGGCAGCACTGCCATTGTCACAGGAGTGAAGGAAGCTCAGAATGTTTGGAACCCCTCAAAAAAAAAGGGTTCAAACTCAGAACCGTCCTATGATTATGGACCTGGTTCTACTGTTTAGAATGGGAGATATAAAAAGACACAAAATGTTAATCCTGAAAGTTTTTAATTTATTTATTAAATTTTTTTTGTTTTGTTTTCCAGTCTTTGGTTTTGGGGGACGGACAAGAGGTGGGTTTGTGGATCTGCTTCGATCCAGGAGACTCTCTGGATCAGCTGTCACGAACATTTGATGAGGTAAAACTGATGCTGATCTTGTCAAATATTTTACGTCATTGGTTACGTTTTTATTTTATTTGCAGGTGAATCAAATCTTGATTTTTCTCCTTTTTGTTTTTCCTTTAGTCTCTCAGGGTGTCGTACCTGGGGCACCCCCATCAGGACGTGGTGGAACTGCACGCCGAGGTCCACTTCCCCAACCTCCACTTCTCCACCAGCAGAGTGGACTTTGGCTGCGTGTTCAACTACACGGAGGCTCAGAGGGTCATCACCATGACCAACTGTTCCAAGCTGCCCGTGTCCTACCACTGGACGTTCCTGAGGAGGCGGAGTCGCTGCAGCAGCAGGTCTCACATTCACATACACACGTACATATACACATTCTTCCTCCCCCCTCCTCCACTCCCCTCCTCCGTCCTAACGACCCGTCTCCCAGGCCATCTGGCTAATTAAATGAAGACCTCACTCTGTGCACTCACCCGCTAAAGTTCCTCTTTCTTTGCTCACAGACGCTGCTCTCTCCAGCCATGTTGAGCTAATTACATCACTATCAGTAATTACACCAGTGTCTTTAGAGAGAGATTTTAATGGAGCCAACTCTGCTCTGTGCTCTTTTGTCTCAGGCTGAAAAAAAACAAAAAAACAAAACAAACAACAACCTGTAAAACTGCTGTAATGTACCAGTGTAATTGAACAGAGACTTTAAATCTATATTGAAATATAAGGTAAAAAAATCTCTCAGGTTCCAAAAAGTCCCTGAGGGTCTTAGATAAAGAGTAAACAGAAATAAGTTAATTCCCTCAGATGGAGCTTCAACTGCTGCCAAAAAAAACCTCCAAACATAAACTAAAAGATAAACTCAGATGTTAAAAGAAAGAAGGAGGAGGAGAGAATCAGCTGCTCGATTCAGGGATGACAATTACAATGAAAAAAAAAAACAAAACAAAAATATGAAGTTACAGCGAACAAGGCAAATATTCCTGAGCAGTATTTACAGGAAAGTAATATTCCCAGATATTATATCCAACATTTGAAGTCTACTCTGACGTTTTAGCTCCGACCCCTGAGGTCTGAGCCGGTGTTGACTGGCTACATTGCTGGTCTGTAGCCGCATAGCTAACGCTATCTCGTTGGCAGTAGTGAAAAAAATACCAGAATACTGCAGCGATAAGAAAACTTTGCACCTGAAAAATTTGCACCCGGCCGTGATCTTATCCAAACTTCTCCAAATTGTGGGATAAAAATAACAACGACGTCACTCAGTACTTTCCCTGTGTCATCTGTGTAACTGGAAAACAGACTTTTATTTGCATTACTGCCACCTATGGCTCAGAATAACAAACAGGTCGTTGTAATCAGGCTTATTTGCCAAAAAAAAATAAAAAAAAGGTCAAATATTTTTGTAGCATTCTGCTGTATCGCGGTGGACCCCAGAGGGATTGCGCTCCACATTTTGGAGTCCTCTTTTGAAACAGCCAGTCGCTTTATGTCCCACTACTGCCATCCTTTGGTCATTTGAATGTACAGCGCGCGTCTGTGTCAGTGACAGCAGCTGATGTGGTCCAATCTGTTGAGCGTGAGGTGTGATGTCACCGTCCATCAAAGGCGCTCTCTGATGACATGTGTGCACACAGCCATTCACGTGTGAAGGATCAAAGCAGTTTTGCTGATCAACTTCTAAGGAGGCAGTAACGCAACCTCAAAAATACCCAGGACCAAAAAACAAAACAAAAAACAGCCGGCGTTAAGGCCCAGTGTTGAAGCACATTCACTGTAAAACAGAGAGCAGGGCAGAGGGGAGGGGCTGTGAAAATGGATTTTACCCTGGGGGCAATAAAAATCATTTAACACTTTCTCTGTGTCTTAAACACCAACATGGAAGAAAGCCAGGATCTAAGGTAAAGGAAGTAGTGATGCAACATGTACACCCTACCTGTCATATACATATACATATATACATATATATTTATATGTACATATATAGTACATACATATATAGACATGTGTAAATATATATGCATCTATATGTATATACATTTATGCATGTAAATATACAAATATCTACATATATATGTATGCACATATATAAGCATACATATATGTGCATGGATATGTATGTAAATATACATATGTATCTACACATATATTCATATATAAGCATACATATATGTGCATGTATATGTATGTAAGTATACTTGTATATCTACACATATGTATACAGTATATACATACATATACAGTATGTGTAAATATATATGCATCTATATGTATATACATTTATGCATGTAAATATACATGTATATCTACACATACATATATAAGCATACATATATGTGCAAGTATATGTATGTAAATATACATATATATCTACACATATGTATACAGTATATACATACATAGACAATATGTGCATGTATTTGTATATATGTATGTATTTAAATATACATATATATCTACATATATGTATATACATACATATATAAACATACATATCCATTATGTACATGTATATGTATGTATTTAAATATACATATATATGTATATATATTAATATAAAGGGATTGACGAGTCAGTTTTTGTTAAAGCAGTCACAGTTACATGAAGAAAAGAGGAGACGGAGACAGAGACGAAGACAGAGACAGAGACAGATATGAAAATGTCACAGAATGATTTCCTGACAGGCTGAGCTCTCGCAGAGTCAGCATCTGCTGTCTCACCATCTGATCCTCTGTCTGCATCACTGGCTTTTTTTAAATTCTTACTTTGTGTACCCACTTTTTTTTTTCCAAAATTGCTTTTTGCCACATGAGGCTTTTTTTTTCTTTTTTTTAATCAACCCTGACAAACTCTACGAACTCGAACCAAAGCTTCTCTGAAAACGTTCACCTACGGAGTCTGGTCACCCTTAGATCCATGCACTAGACTGGCTAATTAGAAATTCCAAGGCCGAGCTGGAGACAAACTTGTCCCCCAGTAGAACAGCCGTGGTCATGCTGCCCAATGGACCATACAACAGTGCCCCCTGCTGGTGGCTTCTCCTTTGAATAAACTTAGACGCTGACACACCAGTGCTGAAGTGTTCCCGGTGCTCACTGATGAATGTGTAGGTGCACTTTAATGTTGACATGCCTCTCATGAACACACACACACACACACACACACACACACACACCAGTATTCAGTGATTTACTGCAGATCTCCACCGGTCCATCTCCTTAAATCTCTCTCATTCTCCTCCATGTTTGTTCAGCACTTGTTCCTTGCGATCCATCCCAACCTGTTTCCTGCTACTTGCCTATTAAAATGCCTCTTAATTAGAGAACACAGTTTAATTAACGTGATGGATAAACCCAGTGAGATCCCAGAGGGACGCAGGGAGAAGAACGGACAGAAAAATTGAGCGTCTGATTTCTTTGGGGGGAAGAAGAGGGGGCTGCTGAGAACCTTTTTCTTCTGTTTTATCTTTGGGGGGAAGAAGAGGGGGCGCTGTTGAGAACCTTTTTTTTCTGTTTCGTTTTGTTTTGTTTTCATTCTTTGCGTTTCTTCATGTTAGGAAATTTAAGTTAATTTTTTTAGCCTGTTTACTTGATTGAGTGTTTAACTTTTTTCTTTTCTTTACCTTTGCCTTCACAGAGAGACAGTTTTGGACCCAGAGGAGGAGGAGGAGGAGGAGGGGCAGCAGAAGAGTCCAGACACTGACGTTGAAGATGACCGGGTCTTTCCTGGAGACTCTTCAGCCGCTTTTTCACCTGCGTTTCCATCCAGGCCCAGTGACCAGTGTGAGAGGGTCTCCTCGGTGCAGGTGGAGGAGGTAGGCAGAGCTGAGACACCTCTGAGAGGGTCAGTGAATGTCTCATGTGGGGGAGGTGGGGTGGCATTTGATTGGACGAGGTTTAATCTGAACAGAATTTTCCTGATAATAATCTTGGGAGAAAGGGTGGAGCAAGAAACACTTCCTGTTATTCCATCTCACTGACATGATTTGACAAAAATCAATCAATAAATCAGTCAATCAATCAGTCTATCCTCCGTTCTCACTGTCTACATGTATGTAAATTTTCAGCTCATTAAACCAAAAAAACTCGCTCCTCTGTTGAAGTCGGTTTAGTTTCGGAAAATGCTCATCCCGGCTATTTTGCTATGCTAATTATATAAACATGACATCACACGATTGTCCATAAATCCTGTCCCAGTTCATTAATTTGGTCGGACATTGACGTGGAAAAACGATCGCCATGATTACCAATATGAAGCTGACTTCAGCAGAGATAAACTATAGAATATAAAATAGATACCGTTTACAAGGAAGTCAAATAAAAACTAGAGCAATATAAAGGATGAGGTTAAAGGTCAAATGTCAAAATGTCAGTCCCCAACACTGTTTTAATTAAAAAAAATTTTTTTTACCAAGGACCAGTCAGCCAGTACCAAGTAAAGATAATTAGTAAAAATTAAAAAAATAAACTGTGTCCCACTGCAGCCCGGTACCAAATTATCTACGGACCAGAGGTTGTGAAACCCTGATGTAAAAGACCAGTGTCAGATAATGGACTTCACTGTCGTCCTGATCTCCGTGGGTCTGTAGGTGTTCGACGTCCTGCCGATGCACGGTCACCTCCAGCCTGGGGAGAACCAGCTGGTCTCCGTCTCCTTCTGTGGCCACGGACACATCAGCAGCGAGGTGGTCGCCCAGTGCCACGTCGACGGGGGGCCCAGGTATGACGTCCAGCTGAGCGGAGAAGCATCCGGAAGCAGCTACAGCCTGGACCCCACCCACATCGATTTTGGCCTGCTGGTACGGTGTCTCCCTGCCCAGTCAGTCTGTAGGAAGGCTGTGGTGGGGTTTTTTTTTGTTTTTTTTAGCTTCTCATTTCTTATTATTTCCTTCATCAATTTCTGACACTTGATCTCAGGAGAGTAATTTGAAAAAAACAAAAAAAAACCTTCTTTCATTCATACTTTTACAGAATTAAATTGAATCGACAAATTGTAAAAGAAGAAAAAACATAACATGAATATTATTAAGAGATATATTTTTTTCACACAGAGGACATTTTTCATTGAGTTTTTTTCCTCCCGCCTCTTTAAAGATGCAGCCCATTCACAGCAGTTATCATTAATATTCAAAAGCAGAACGTATTGATTTTTCATTTGGGTGAAACAGGCCATTCAGCAGAACATTCTTCTCACCTTCCTCTGCAGCTCTGTTCTTACTCCTGTGTCATTTCTCCTCTTTTTCTCTCTCCTCCAGAATCACGCACTCTTTAACACTTTAACGTAAATAAAGAGTTTGGATTAAATATATGTGATGTTCGTAACTTTTGCTGCAGCGACGACCTGTAAATATGACAATTGTTGACTATTATTTTGGATACTTACAAATGATAAGTCAAAGAAATACAGTACCCAAACAGTGGAATAAACATAGCACACGGATAGGATGTCCGATAATATTGGCCGACCAATATTATCAGCCCGATATTAGCATAATTATGTAAGAATTGCTAACGGTTTTTCCTCCGATAATGAAAACCTGATAACACAATGCCTGGGTTTCGCTAAATGATGTGTGTTTAAGTTTGTCCTAAAAAATAGTTTTGGAGAAAAACGTCTGTATGTGAAAGGGAAAGCCACTAGATGGCAGCATTGTAGCTCGTTTTATTATTTGAATAACCAGGGGATTGTATGCAGTATGTTTGTTCAGATAAATAAATGAATAAATATTATCAACATCTCAGTTTTATTCGACACTTCGCACAGTTGACCATGTGAGGGACGCCGTCCGCTAACTGACGTCTCTTTTTCTGCGGCTTTCAGCTGTTCGATCACCAGGGGGAGGCCAAGGTGGTCCTCAGAAATACCGGCAGAGTTGGGTTCACATTTGAAATCCTGCAGCTACCGGTAGAAGAGGAGGAGGAAGAGGAGAAGAGTGAGGCAGAGGAGGAGGAAGAAGAAGAAGAAGAAGAGGGAAAGGAAGAGGGAAAGGAAGAGGGCGCGGTGAACGACGACGCCAGTGAAGATGTGGATCAGGAGAAGTCCCCCGAGGAAGAAAGGGAGCGTGAAGAAGGAGAAGGAGAAGAAAAAGAACGAGAGGAAGTAGAGAGAGAAAAGTCGCAGGAGTTCAAGGAGCCAGCAGTGGAAGCACCGAAGGACGACGTGCGGGAGATCAGACCCGGTCAACCCATGGTCATCCCCAGAATGGTACGAATGTCCGAGTCAAGGGTCAAAGGTCACCTCTCAGTGTCGGCGAGGTGTTCAAACGGTGTCTCTGTGTTTTTGTCAGGGCTACATCGAGGCCGGTTCTGAACAAACGCTGCGAGTCCTCTACATCCCTGGTCTCCCGGAGGTTTTTGAGAAACAGATCACCCTGCAGGTGGCGTTCCTGCCTCCTCAGGACATCACCGTGACCGGGGAGGGAGTTTTCCCACGGGTCCTGCTCAACCTGCCTCGGAAATTTGGTGAGAACAGACGGATACAAGTAAAAGTGGTTTAGTCGTGAGTGGGCGGTTGCTGGTTTGAATCTGTGCCGTCAACAGACTCTTGTGGTTCAAGTTTTTGTAGAGTTTCTGTGTCTTGCTCTCTGCAGATGAGTCCTACGAGGATTTGCTCACGGAGGCCAGAGCATTTTTGGCGTCAAAAGAAGCCAGAGATCCAATCCGTGGGTCAGAGAGTGATGGATCACCGATCACCTTCTTACTAACAGTCAGTAACCAGGGAAAAAACAGACATTAAAAAAAAAAAAAAAACAGTTCGGAATCTGCTAATGCAGAGATCCCCAACAGGGGGCAGTATTTCAGATAAATTATATATTTAAGAAAAATATTACATACATGTTTAAAGTAAAAAAAACAAACATCTGTTACGTCATTAGTTTTAAATATTTAATTATCAGTATGTTTTTTTTCCTGCCTCTAGCAAGAAGAGCGCCTCCACATGGAGATTGAGAGATTACTGGTCAAAGCAAACGCTCTGGCCATGACCAAAGGCCTGCTGGAGATCAGAGGTGAAGGGTCTTCCTGCAGGAAGTGGTACAAACTCAGCAAGTACGTGCAACACACTCACACACACACACACACACATGTTTATCCTTGTGGAATTTTTGGTGTGAACATGAGTGTGAATGGTTACGTCATAGTTGACCTCCTGATTGGCTGCAGATCTGTGCTCTCGACCAATTACTGCCGCGATTGTCTCTAAATTAATTTGTAGAAAGTACATGGACAGTAAATCAAACACTCCTCAGAGCTTTGATGTTAAATCGATGACTTTGTTGTTGGACTTTGGTCCAGAGTGCGGAAGAAAGAAAAAAAAAACTTCTCCAGAAAAAGTTTAAAGATGCTGCTGATTTCAGAGGTTGGAGATTTTGGTTGTTGTTGCTTTTAATCACAGGTCCCAGATCCAGGTCCCAGACTGGTTCCTGGTCCCAGCTCTGATCTTTTGTTATTGTCTGGTGAAAGCTCGTGTTAAAATATGTAACTCCCTCGTTAGAAAAAATGTCTTAATCTTCTAAAATACAGCGAGAGTCCGGAGAGTCTTTGAAGCTTTTCAGATGTTTTTTTTCTTCACTGACAGAATGTCTTCAGAATAATGGTTTTTAATCACGGTTTGTCCGCTCACATGGTCCGAACAGATGGTTCACGCGGTGACCTTAGCTGAGAACTCTGGGACTTCAAAGAGTCCTTCTCTTTAATGACTGAAGTTTGTTTTTACTCTGCGGTGTTGGCAGAGTGCAGGACTTCACCGCCCGCGTCGTGTTTGATGTCCAAGGTGGAAACAACACTTGTTATACTTTTAACAACTTGACAAACGTATTTTGATCAGTTTGGAGCCACTGCCCACTGGCTGCCCCAAACCTTCTGTCGACGATACAACAATCGACCCCAAGCTATAGCCTCCATTACGTTTTGACGAAGACGGAGTTTTGCGGCGAAGAACTGTGTACTCTTCGTATACAAGTTCCAGAGTGGAGAGGTTTGACAGGTTCTGTCGTCATGTGACCCTCTTACACACCAGGAACCCTGGTCTAACCCACACAATAACAATGGCGGAAACTATGTTTTTTTTTCTGTGCTACAGTTAGCCGTCTCCGCCGTGTCGTGCTTATCTTTCTTTACGGTTCTCAAGCTACACATGCTCTGGGGCTTTTTTTCTCATTTTCTGAACTTCTGCTACAAATTTTTCCAGCATTAGTATGTTATGTATTGTAGCTTGGTTAACAGCACCACCTACAGGCCTGACATATGTACTACATGGACAGGAGTCGTATTCAGCAGCTCTGTTTAAACGTTGGTTTTTTGCGCTAGAACCGTGTGAACGCTCTGTATCCGGAGGCTACTTTAGTCGTATCGCAGCAAAGCCGTTTTTAGGATCAGGAATCTTATGTCGACTGTTGTTCATCGTCCAACCCATCGTTTCCTCTGTCCCCTTCTGTTCACAGGTTTATTCTCCCAGACTACATCCTTGATTTTGGATACGTCATTCTGGGAAGGGTTCACACTCACACCGTTGACATCACCAACACCGGATTGGTGCCTGTGTCCTTCTATGGCAATTTCAAACCTCTTATCGGCAAAGGTTGTGGTTCTTTAGCTTTCATTTTGAATAATAATAGTTTTTGTTCGTGAAGGTGAAAGAATTTATCATAGAACTTGTTTTTTTTTATTATTATTATTATTAGGTTTCACTGCAGAGTTCGACAGAGTGACTAAAATGCCCTGTCGCCAGTCACTGTCCTTCACTGTGAAGTTTGATCCTAAGAAGGCTCAGCTCCCCCTGGGGGAGATAAGTGTCATCGTACCAATACAGGTAGATCTGTACAGTGTTATATATACAGTAAAAAATTCATATTATTTATTATATGTTCTAATACGTTGTTAGTATAAATATTTGGTTTTTTTTAGTCAGTTTTTCTTTTCACTGTAATGTATTTATTTGTGCCACACAGAAAAATAGTTTAAATTAATTTTTATAATTTTATTTAAGATCTAACATTACAAATGAAAAAATGAGTATAAAAAAGTATAAAAAAAAACACTGGCACCATCTAAGCCAATTACCAAGATGAAAGAAAGTCAAATATTTCTAACAATTTATTTTTCTGCTTTGTCATCATGAAGAACATTAATACTAATTACTGTTGTACCAGTAACAGTTTAAAGAGTTGCCAATTAGCAGGTTACCTGTTGTTGACACTTTGTCTTGTCCACAGGTGGTTGGTGGTCCCACGGTGCATCTGCGGCTCTGTGCAGTGGTGACCATGCCGGCTGTGACCGTCTCCTCTGACAGTCTGCACTTTGACCCTGTGCAGTGTGGCATGTGCCAGGTTACACATCCAATACATACTAACAATATTACACAGTCTGACACATCTGATCAAATCAGTTAGGTACAGCAGAGCGTCATCGACATACAGCAGAACAGAAACACGGGGAGGGGGGAGTAAATGAAAGTCCAAAGTCTGTTTATACTCCCTCAGTAATAACTGAGCGTGTGCAGTACAGACTAATGAGGATGCTTAATGAGAGCGTTCTGTGCCGCGCCGCCTGCTGTGGTGACATGTAGAGATGGTTCGCTACAAAATCAGGTTAATGATGTGGTCAACACCCCTCAGCTAAAAGCTGCAGCTATTGCTAAAGTAGCAGGATGACCGTGAGCTCTCCTTAAAAAAAAAAAAAAAAAAAGATTCAACAATGTATTGTAATTTTCCCTATTATTTACATACAGTATTTGTGTGTATATTTCTGTATATACATACATATGTGCATATACACATATATGTGTGTTAACATATACATATATGTAAATATATACATATGTATTTACTTATATATGTCCATATGTATTTACATATATACACATATATGTACATATACGTTTACATATATGTTTATATATCTCTATATACATATATACACATATACAGTATGTAAATATGTCTACATACATTTACATATATGTGAATATATGTACATATAAGTTTACATATATATATTATTTTTTTTATATATGTTTAAAATCTTGAATCTTCATGACATCCGTCTCATCAGGTGAAGATGATCCAGCTGTCAAATCGGGAGCCTGTGCCTTGTTACTGGAACATATTTGAGGATTTGAGGCCTGTAATAGAGGTAAGAATTGTTCCATTTTTAAGGTTGTTAATATTGATCTTTGGGTAAAGAAAAATTCAATGTATATGTGGTCGTTTGCTCTTTCTTTCACTCAGATCAATAAGTTCCTGCCTCCTTACCTGAGGAAAAAGCTGCTGGATGAGCAGCCGCCAACGATACCAGCATTTCAGGTGATTCCCAACTCTGGGAGTTTGGATCCTGATGAACGACTCAATGTCCAGATAAAGTTCATTCCCACAGTAGAGGTAAGAAGACTTGCAGTATTTGGGATACAGAAAAAAAAAACAAGATTTTTTCAAATTTAGTGAGGAATTGGCCCTGTATTGGCTGACACCCAGTGGTCAGACTGTGAAATACATGGCTGTTGATGTCTCTGCAGGATGATTACAACAGGAAGATCATCATCAGTGTAAAAGAGAGCAGCAAAGACGTCATCATTAGCGCTTGGGGTAAAAGTGAGGAGCCAAAACTCGAGTTCTGCCCACTGATCCTGGAGATGAAACCCTGTCTTCCTGCCAGCACCGACATCGAGGGCGAGGTCATAGTCAAGAACCCGTGCTCTTTTCCCATCGAGTTCTTCTGTCTGGAGTTCGACACTCAGTACATGGAGGAGGAAAAGGTAAAAAGTCACAAAACCAAACAAACTTCTGGTTTTTCTGTTTTGCTGATTCAGAAATCTGGTTTATAGAAGGCTTTCCGCTGTGTCGCTAACCTCCTCTGATCGTCACCTTCTGCAGGTCCTGCGTATGATGCCGGGCTACGCTGACAACGTTCTACTGCTGCCCACCAGAGAACCTGGAGAAAGTCTCCCCAAAGAGCTGGTGGAGTACTATGACAAGTATTGCTGTAACCTGACGGAGGAAGGTGATTTTTTTATCCACCTGGATCATTTCTACTCTCGTTTTATTTTGAATTTGTTTTAACTTTGCCTTGGTTCTGTCCTCGTCTGTCTCTTGGATGCGTTTCAGAACTCACTCCAGAGATAAACAGTGGGACACAGGTACTGGACTCTCACAACCACAGGGGCCCTGCTATTATTTTGTACGGCGGTCCGATGACAGGTAAGGTCCGATAACAGGTTTCTTGAAAGAATTGAGTTGATTTAGTAAGGTGTGTCTGTGAAAACCTTTTAAAATTCTATTTCTACACTTTTTTTCTTCCAGATGAGAGCGGCACTCCATCTGCTCTGGCCGATCACTACGAAGGGGTGTGTCTGAATTTCGACACCGTGGTCACAGATGTGCTAAGAAACGGAATCTCTCCAGCAAGTCTGGCAGCAAAAAAACTCCTTGACCAGGCTGCGACACAGTATTACGAGAAAGAGGCCGGTAAGTCGTCGTGATCCACAAAGTTCACAAAGGATGTACTGTAGTGACCCCTACAGGGAGAAGAAAAAAATAGTATTACCTTTGACGGCATACGCTAATAGTTTCAACAGAATGCTGTATGCAGATGATTATCTGATGTTCGGTGAAGATGTTTTTTTGGCTGTAGTGTTCTTGTATATTTCTGTGTTCCTTTGTAAATGTCAATGATGTAAATGCAGACTGTTGATAATTATTATTTTCTTTCTTAAAACCACAAATGTCAATGATGTAAATGCAGACTGTCGATAATTTTTTTTTTCTTAAAACCAGCAGTCACATGTTCCGATGTTCCTACTTCAATTCGCACGGCTCCTCCGATACTGGAAACTTTAGACGACTCTAGAAAACACAGTGAGGAGGACAAGGAGAGCAGCGTTCAATCTCAGGAGCCGGAATGCTCGTTCTTGGACCTTTGTCTGGTACAATTTCTCTATGTTCACTGTCTTAAATAAGTTTGAGTTTTTTTATTTTTAACATCTGACATTGAAACATTTTCTTTCTTTCTGTCAGCGAGGAGACGCGATGAACCTCAATAATCTCTTACCTACTCAACTACTGGCTGATATCATGTTGGAAAGATTTCAGGTAAGACTCGCGAGTGAGTCAATTAACGTACTGTAATATACTGTATCATGAGGTTCCAGGTGTGAGGTACAAAATGTACTTCGATATGTGGTCTACAAGTAAAAGTACCAGTGGGCTGAATTTGTAGGTAACATTTATTTGAGTTTCTTTCGTAGTTTAGTCGTTAATGTTTAGTAAAAGTACCAGTGGGCTGAATTTGTAACATTTCTTTCTTTCTTTCATTTTCTCGACACCATCGTAACAGTTCGGCGACTGTTTCCGAGCCATGGTGATTCACGGCCTGAAGTCCATCTACACTCCGTCGCTGGCAAGCACACTTCAAGTCATACTGAAAGCCCTTCAGGACCGCAGGCACATCTACGTGGTCAGCCTGTACGATTCCTACTTTGCCGACATGATAGAGGAAAAACGCAAACGCCAGAGAAAGAGAATAGAAGAATCGGTCAGCCTGGCCGGGAGCTTCGTCGGCCCCAACATGGACGATGACCTGAAGCCTGCAGGCAGAAGAGACAGCGTCATGTCGGACTCGTTTGCTTTAGAACTGCTGGAGGGGAAAAGGAAGCGCCACAGAGGAAGAAGAAATCTGTCCGAGCCCTACATTTTTGAGGAGGATGAAGGAAGCAGGGAAGTAGTGGCCAGCATGTTTGACACGTACGTGAGCGAGCACCGGAGACACCATAGAAGACGGAGCATAACGTCCCGCTCTGTCGACGAGACTGCGGAAAAAACCAAACATCACAGGAGGAGAAGCCACATGTCAGATCCTGAGGGGCAGGGGGAGGACAGAGGTAGGCACCACCGAAGAAGGAAAGGAATCTCCCGCCAGTTGTCTGACCCCGTGGACGCCCCTCTGAGGGATGAAAAAAAAAGGGAAGGGAGACACCACCACCGAAAAAGAAGGGAGAGCCCGCGACACGTGTCGGACACTGCCGTGGAGAGCAGAACAGAGGACGCGGAAGGACATCACAAGACTAGGACAACCATGTCTGACTCCCACACTCCACACAGGAGGGGGGACAAAAATAGACACCACAGAAGAAGAAGAAAAAGATACGATCAGGAGCAGGACCAGTCTGATCACGAGGCTACGGACGCGAAAGATGACGGGAAACAACCGAGTGACGAGCCAACGGAAGAAGGACGGAGACACCGTAGAAGAATGAGAAAAGACGGCGCGACCGTCATGTCAGACTCTGCTGCCGAGAGGAAGGAGGACAAACCACGGCAGAAGAAAGGACAGGAGGACAGGATCAGCCTGCCTAACATGTCCATGGACGAGGTGATGGAAGACGAAGAGAAGGAGAGAAAGGACAGCTCAGTGGGTTTGTCCGACTCTTCAGCCACGGCCCAGGACACATCGGGGTCTCAACGGCTGGGAAGGAGTGGCAGAAGATCGGCTTTGTCCGACAATGTCACAGGTGGGGCGACGATGGGGAGAAAAAGAACCTCATCGAGAAAAAAACGAGGTGGAGTGACGACGTCTGAGCCAGGTAAATGTAGCGCCACACAGTTTGAAGAAGAGTTGATCAGTAGGGATGTCGGATATTAACGTTTTGCCAATATCTGATCTGATATTGTCTAAACACCGATATCAACCAATACCCAGACTGGGGCAGTGGTGCCCTGGTGGTTAAAGAAGTTAGTTTATTTATCTGTTCAAACCACTGTATGAGTTCCTGGCATCAGCATTCCACATACAATCCACTGATTATTAAAATAGATTAATAAAATGATCTGCAATGCTGCCCCCTAGTGGCTTTCACTTTCACATGCGGCTGTTTTTCCCCAAAATTATTTTTTCAGTGCACAAATCGCGGCTGTTTTTCCCCAAAATTATTTTTAGTGACAAATAATTTGACAAAACTCAGGCACTGCGTTATCGGGTTTTCATTATTAAAGGAAAAACTGATAACGATTCTTACAGATGTCACATATTGCCTGAAATTGACCGTAGTACAATTTTGCGTTTGGTTATATGATGAAAGAATGTCGTCTTCTGCTGCTGCAGGTTCTCTTATGAGAGCATTGGACCAGGCGTTCAAGATTCCAGAACCTGGCATAACATCCTCCCGGATCTCTTCTCCTATGAAACACCTCCACTCCATGAAAGCAACTCCGTCTCCTCCACCCATAGATAAGTTAGTGAGAGAAAAAGTAAGTTTTAACGTCAACTTTTTGTTTGACTGTTTCCCTCAGTGACGAAAACCCTGGTTCCAGGTTGGTTTTATCATATTTCCGTCTCTTTCCAGGCTCTGGTGATTGAAATGCAGGCCCAGCTCACCAACTACGAGAAGAACAAGGAGCAGGTGAACCACATCCTGAAGTACTGGGACCGGACCAAGGGCATGTTGCTGGTTCCACTGCCTGAAAAAGAGGCTCAGCCTGAGAAGAAGGTCAGTTTGATGTCACTAAGTCCCCGGAGAGAACGGGAGGACTACTCCACTTCTACGTCCTGTCAATGTCTCCGTCCATCTCTCTGTTCACCCACAGGCCCCAGAAAGAAGAGGTAAAAAAGGCGGCGCCAAACCAGCGTCTCCTGCTCCGAGTCAACTCACAACAAAGGCTGAGCCCGAAAAGGAGGAAGAACAGCTGTCTCCAGAGAAGCTCGTCCCTCACATTGTGTTGAACATCACAGAGAAAGGGGGCGCCAACGTGGAAGAGTTGGTCAGAGACAGTATACTGCCCTCTGTGGATGAGGTGGGGATAATTCTGCTGCAGCGTTCACCCAAAAATATGAATATAAAAAATACTAGAAACGTCAGATATTATCGGCCTAATATTAGCATTACTATCTAAAATCTGTAAGAATCATTATCCGTTTTTCCTCCGATAATGAGAACCCAATAACCCAAAGCCAGGGTTTTGCTAAATGATGTGAGCCCTTAAAAATAGTTTGGGGGAAAAATAGCTGTGTATGAAAGTTAAAGGCAGTAGGTGGCAGCATTGCAGCTCATTTTATTAATCTATTTTAATAATCAGGGGATTGTATGCAGCAACACATGCAGTGGTTTTTACACCACTGGGGGGTGCAAAACCTTCTGTCCCCTGTTCACCATTAAGAAGATTTGGTGTCCAAATCGTCCTTTCTCTTCTTTGCCGTGTGTAGGTCTTGGATGATCTCGGTCTTGGACCCCACAACACTCCTACCGTCACTTTGTCAGTGGTTCCTTTTCCAAAAGAGAGGCACGACCTAAACAACCAGACGATCAATGACTGGTTCACCTTCCTGGACCCCGCAGGGCTGGAGGATCATGACGACAAGAGGGACTCGGATGAAGAAGTGAAGGTAAGGTCACGGTCTGTGACATGAACTCGGTGTTTGGTTCTGGTGATGCAGCGTGAAAAGACTGTGAACTCGGTTCTGGTGATGCAGCGTGAAAAGACTGATCCGTACACTGTGAACTCTACCTTCAAGGGAAGTGCGTCAGGAAAGGATAAAAAAGGCAAAGAGGCTCCGAAGAACAGACGCCATTGTCCGGCCAAGACCAGAGCGAGGGGTTCTGGGCGTCATGGAACCTCTGCCAAGCACGAATTCACAGAACATGAGCAGCACCTGGAAATTCTGGATCAGAAACGTAACCAAAGGCGAGCAGAGACCCACGGACCGATGTTTTTACCTTGTTTTCTCTTCACCTTTTTTTTAACTCTGTCTCTTCATGTGCAGCCTGACTTCGTTCCGCTGGGTTGTTTCTGCGCACAGTGAGATGGTTCTCAGGACCTGGTTCTACTCTGACTCTCTGGGGAAATACAAACAGAGGTACAACTTTGAGATAGTGGGGAACAAGAAACACTACCGGCTCCTCTGCCGAGGAACCTGTGCATATCCATCCATCTCCAGAGACTACATGTAAGTCAACGTCGTTAGGTGACATTGTCCAGGAGGAAATCTATCTGTTTATCCATCCATCCATCCATCCATCCATCCATCCATCCATCCATTTCTATCTAAGCAGTTGTGCCTAAACTCTTTGGTAATTTTTGTGGTTTTCCCAGGACCTTGTTTGCTAACAGTAAAGTCTTGCCAAAAGCCGTGGAGAGGATGGCGAAGACCTACGTCATCAACCAGGGCTACTTTGAATTTGGACCACTCCTGTGTAACAAAAGCAGAGAGAGGTGGGTCACTGAAGCTACTACACCAAGAAACCGAGAAACTAACTCATCACGAAAGACGAAAAAAACAAGTGATTTATGTACAGTATTTATGTATTTTGCGTTTGTCTGCGTTTGTAGATACAAGAATAACGGATATGTGGAAAACACGGAGAAACTGGTGATTCACAACGATTCAGGTCTGGAGACCGAGGTCCAGTTCCATTTCCAGTACGACACACAGGCCTCCACGTATCTGCTGGATCCTCCGTCCATGACGCTGCAACCAGACGAGAAGCAGGTATTTGTCGTGCTGCGTTTTTTTAGAACCTCCACAATGAAATTATGAATGAAATGCTGTAAATAAAAATAATTTTTTTTTTTCTCCGATCCTGTAGGAGTTGACGATATGGGCGTATCCAACACGAGTGGGACAAGTAAAAGACAGTGTGCTGTGCTGTGTCAAGGACAATCCTGACCTTGTGAACATTGACCTCTCCTGTTGGGGAGTTTGGCCACAGGTGGAGCTGGAAGGCCGATTTTTGCACTTTGACAGGATTCTGTTGCACAGGTACTGTAACATTCAGTTTTTTCAGCAATTACGTCAGACCTTTTTAGACCTCAGCTAGGAGTCGTCAGCATAAACGCAAACTGAAACATCTGTTTCTGGTGCTAACTAGTGTCAAGGTTTGTAAAAGAATACCAGTAGCCCTAACATTGAACCCTGAGGAACTCCATAATGTACAAAATGGTTCGTACAGTTAGCATACCTGTAGTGTGGACAATCCAACGCTTCATAATCAATAATATTATTTTTGGAAACATGTCTTCTCTGTTGTGCGTCTCGTAGGGAGGAAAGGCGCACCGTGATCATACATAACCGATGTGGGCTGTGTGTGTTTTGGCGACTCCAGGACCTGGAGTTCCTGGGTGATGAGTTCACCGTACCCCAGGATCAGGGAATCCTCTCACCGTACGCTTCATGCGTCATGGTCATAATCTTCGGGGCCAAGAGGCCAGTGCACGTTAAAAAGATGCTACGACTGGAGGTAGGATTTCCTGGGCAAAAAAAACCAAACATTTCATGAGTCGAGCTACAGTAAGTGAAAATGCTAAAAGCCTCCCATCAGTGTAGACACGTGGCTGTGTATGTGTGTGTTTTAGGTGTCAGATGTGGAGAAAATTCTTGGTGTCGTACAGACGGAAAACATCAAGATCACAGCTGAGGCCTACGATATTAACCTGGTCACCTCACCACCAGGTAGAACCTCGTCCAGTATGAAAAATGTCCTGATCAAATCTGACTCCTGATTCATTCTGTGTGCTGTGAAATTGTCGAAATTATATACATCTAATATACATATATATATATATATATATATTCACCCTTGGTATATTTAATGAACTTTGTTAGTGAACAGTGAGTGTATTTATTGTTACACCGTGCCTTTAAGAGGCGCGGTCACATGGGTTACCGCTTGATTGTCCATTCTCATTTTTCCCTATTGTTCAATTAGTGTTAATCATAAAACGTTTTTTTTTGTTTTCCTGACAGATGGGCTGCTGAACTTTGGAATCATTCGTGTCTTTGAAGAGTCCAAACTTACTATCAAGATGAAAAACCATGGGAAATATGAAATTGCCTTCCAGTGAGTCTGCCGACCTGACCCGAGGTTACGCATTTGATCTGTTGTTATATAAATGAGGTCGCGGTTTATTTATTCACTCCGTCCTCCAGGTTCTTACTGAAGCAGACTCGGCCCAGTCAGCCAAAGCTGGACCAGATCTTCACAATTATTCCTGAGTCTGGTGTTCTCAAGCCCCACGAGAAGGCTACCATCATCCAGGTGGTCTGCACGCCTAACACTGAAGTGTCCATACGAGACCAACCCATTCTGCCCTGCCAGGTCTGAGCCAAGAACTGGTCGTAAACATCCTGAACTACAGCCTCTGATGTACTCTGAAGATGTTGGTGTTAAATTAAAAATCTTCTCTAGGTGATTGAACCCAACATTGGAAGCGAAGGAGAAGCCATCGCTACGCTTACCTTCAAGATTACCGTGAAGTCGGTCTACTCCAGGTAAAGCCGCTCATTCCTTTCATCCTCACTGTGACGCTGGGGTCGTTTACACCAGTGTTTCTTGGCACCCATATTTTAAAAGTCACAAACCTTGGCGACCCAAGTCAATAGACATTATTGTAAAAATAATGCGAGATGAACCAAAAAAAAAAAAAAATCTCCTGCGACCCCCCTGAGGGTTGCGACCCAGTCTTTGGGAAACAATTGTTTAGACCTCAGACTCTAGTCCTAGACCGTAGTCTGCAGATTTGATCACTGATAAGACGGCTGCTGTCAGATTGAGGTTTTTGATTGGATATGTTTTGCAGATTCAAGATCTCACCTCCAAAGGAGCTCCACTTTGGTCCGATGGCGTTCCATGGCTTGAAGAAGAGCCTGAGCTTCACCATAGAGAACATTGGAATCTTTGAGAGTCAGTTTAGCATCTGTCTAACGTCAGAGCTGCCGGTCGCAACGAAGCAAGGGTAAGAGACGTGAACACATTATTTAAATCACCATCTCTGGATATCGGATATTAAATTATCCGATGTCCGATAATGTCATCTTTGTCCAAACACTTAATTTCAGATTCCGATATCAACCAATACCAATATAGGCCTGTTAATTATGAGATTAATTAAATGAGCTGCAATGCTGCCATCTAGTGACTTTCACTTTAATATACAGCCGTTTTTCCCCAAAACAATTCTTAGGGCCCACACTATTTAGCAAAACCAGGCTTCAGGTTTTCATTATCGGAGGAAAAAACCACAACAATTCTTACAGATATAACATAAAATGCTAATATCGGTTGGTCGATATTATCAGACAGTACAGTACAATCACACCACTAAAAATTATAAATTACAATAAGCCTGTGTTTTCCCCGAGCCGTATGTTTGACACCACGGCTCTAGGTCTTTTGTCTTGACTGCTTGAACTCCGTCTCAGATCGTTGATATTCCTGTCTCTCTGTGTCTCTTGTCTTTGTGTCCTGGTCTCAGAGGTCCAGGTAAAAAGGCTCTGCCCTGTACAGCTGCTCCCAAAACGAGGCGCGACTCCCTCCAGAAGGACTGCAGCGTGGTACATGTGAGGAAGTACTCCTAGAAACACCAGCCTGCCCGTGTACTTCCTGTTGTCATTGTCATTCCCTCTTCTTCTTCTTCTTCTCTTTTCCTGCTCAGAGTCGTATCGCGGTGGGGGTCTTTGCGGTGTCCCCCTGCACGGGGCTGTTGCTCCCGGCCTCTCAGCAGACGGTGATCGTGGACTGTGCACCTGAACAGCTGGGCTCTTTGATCCAGAACCTGCTCATTGACATCAGTGACCGCGACCCGTCACACCATCCTGACGGCATTCCGTACAGACTCCTGGCTGAAGTCTGCAAGCCGAGTAAGAACTCCTACAAAATTTGTTTTCAAAGCAGAAAATTGTGCAGGAAATGCGAGATCAATAGATATAAGAAAATTCAGCGAATCCAAATTCCCTCTCGTGGATCGATTCCCCTGCTCCAGGTCGTGCCTTGTTTATAAAGAGATGTACGATTTACGTGCGTTGATTTTCTTTCTTTTCTGTATATATTCACTAGTTGTACATCAGGGTCAGACTTGTCCACAGTCCAGCTATGGGGAAGTGACCTTTATCTTATTTATGATGTAAATTTAAGTTTCTTTTTCTCGTAGATTTCTGATTCAATTTTCATTCCGTTACACTTGTAAATTTAGATATTTTATTTTTTCTCATAAATTTGCGACTTGTTATTAATTAATGAATTGTTATTAATTTACGCTTGTGAATTTAGGTATTTTTTCATGCAAATTTACGGCTTACGCTTGTAAATTAAGATGTTTTTTTCTTGTGAATTTGGGACTTTATTTTCATAAAGTTGCACCACAAATTTAGGTGTTTTTAAAGTTACAACTTTATGGTCATATATTTGTGCTTGTAAATTTAGGTAATTTTTCTTAAATAAATTTATGACTTTAATTTTATTCAATAATTTTTAATATTTTTTATTCTCAATGTGACCCTATCAGCCCCTCGTAGTCGGCGCCATCTCCTGGTCCTGGAGATATTTCTGTCCGATTTCCTCTTCATTCCAAATCATCTTCCGTCTTTTGTCTTTTCCCCAGGCATATTGTTAGACATGGCCTCCATCTTTGAGGAGAACTACCTGTGCCACACCAGCCAGGATCTCCTCTCCGAGCAGTTTCACAACACTGACGGCGTGTTCGTCCTAAACGAGAACAAGTTGTCGTTCAACAAAGTGCTGGTTGGACGGACTGCAAAGACGCGCCTCAAATTCTCCAACAACAGCAAAGTGCCCTGCGTGATCAACCTGTTCATCAAGTACAATCCCATCAAGGTCGGACGTGGAGCCAAAAGTCAAATGTCTTTTCATTGTCATTTTCTATTTTTATTTTTTTTAAATATAAAACAACCCAGTTCTAATTAATATTTTTTACGTGACCTTTACATCATTAGATATTCAGAGATTTTAGGTCAAGCGAGTGGTTCCTCTGGGAATTGAACCCGTTAGCAGGCGTGCTAACCAACTGCTGTGTTTCCTTCACAGGTCACTCGCAACATGGAGGTGTTTGATGTGTCCACACCAACAGTGACCATTGGCAGCCAATCACACTCCTTCATCTACATCACCTTCAACCCGCGGGCCACGCTGATGTACCACGCCGTGTTCGAGGCTTCCATGGAAGGGTTCGGCCGGTACATTAATATTTGCAGATGTTAAAATTGTCCAAACATGAGGCTAATATTATCAATATCAACACTGAATGTGAAAAGTCTACCTAATAATGTGGACCGTGAACCAATGTCTCGTCGGGTTTATTATTATTTTTTTACTAAGAATGTCTCATCGGGTTTATTATTATTTTGTTTTTACAAAGCCTTCTTCTTCTTCTTCTTCTTCTTCAGAGCAACAACAGCCATCAAGATCAAGGTGCTGGAGTTCGACCTGACAGGAGAGGGCAGTCTCCCCAGTGTGAGTGTGATACGTCCCAGTCTGAGGAACAACAGAGGAAACCCTGTGTTACACTTCAGACGGTTGTTGGTGGGACGGAGACAGTCCCTGCCTCTGGTGCTGCTCAACGATGGACACGTCCCAGCTCAGGTGGGTCGTCCCTTTGGATCTCACTGTTGGTCTTAGCCTTAATATTCCAAAAAAATTTCAAAAAATCATTTTTTATTAAATTTTATTAAAATCACGTTATTAGGTACATCCAAGGTAGGAGCAGTGTTTGATTTTTATTTTTTAAGATTTTTTTTTCATCACATTTCTTTAGGGAGGCAAATAACGAAATGAGAGTCTTAAATTTATAAGTGATGCATTAATGAGCAGTTTTTGGACATGACACAAAACGACACTAAACATGAGATAAACAAGGTGCTTTTTATACTACAATTATGACTTTTTTTGTTTGTCATTTAGGTATTTTGTCTCGTAAATGTACAACTTTTTTTATGATAAATTAATACTTGTAAATTTAGAGTGTTTTTCTCATAAATTTACAAATTAACTGTAATACATTTACCCTTGCAAATTAATACATTTTTTCTCGTAAATTACGACCTCATCCTCATAAATTAAGACTAATTAGTGTATTTTTTCTCGTAAATTTACAACTTTATTTATTTATTTTTTTTATCACATTTCTTTTTTATTTCTTTCCTCTGCAGGTTCATGTTGACCTGGTGGATAAACAAGGTGTTTTCACTTTCCTACCCGCCGCTGACAACGACTGCAGCAGCATCCAGTCTCTGTCGGAGAACTCCACTGACACAGGTCCAGCCCGTTGACAATATGACAAAATATATAAAAATACCAAAACATCAGTGAGACTTTTATGATCTGATTCGTTCGTCTAAATCCTGTTAGCTCCTTTAGTTCCATGAAGCCACAAAACCCTGACCTTTAACCTCCTGATTCCTTCTCCCACAGATGTGCAGAGAGCGCTCGTGAGCCTGGGTGTCGGCAAAAAGGCCGGGTTCGAGGTCATTCTCAGCTCCGACGAGCCTGTGTTGGTGAGGACCAAGCTGACGATCGAGGTGGAAGACAACAAGCACTGCAAGACCTTAGTCAAGGTGTTCGGAGAGACGTACAAGGAGGTGGTGACGCTGGACAACATCAGGTCGCCGCAGGAGACGCATCACGACGACAATGAAAAAGGCGAGTCCGGACCTAGAGTTAACTTCAACTGTACTGTAGTTACTAATACTAATACTAATACTAATACTAATACTAATACTAATACTAATACTAATACTAATACTAATACTAACGAATAAAACTACTAAATATTATTCCCCCGCAGGCAACTACGAGTTGCTGAACTTTGGCGACTGCCACGTGGCCTGTCGTTACGAAGAGAGCTTCACCATGACCAATCACAGCGAAACCAAAGCGGTGAGGTTTGAGTGGCCCCCTGCTGGACAACAGGGCAACGTCTTCTTTTCACCACAGGTACGAAACCGGTGAAGAAAAGAATCAGACAAATATATCGGTATCGTTAAGTGTCTTTGGCTGATTTATTTATGTTTCAGTCCCAAGTTTACATCTTGTTGGTGCTAGGATTTCCACAATGTGGCTAATAGTCAGTCAGTTAGGCCATTGTTTCCCAAAGACTGGGTCGCAACTTTTTTTCCCAAAGACTGGGTTGAGACCCTCACGTGAGTCGCAAGAGATTTCTTTTTTGGGTCGTCTCGCATCATGTTTCCTAGGAGTTTACGACTAATGTTTATTGACTTGGGTCAATAGGGGGTTTGTGACCCGGAAAAATAAGTTTGGGAAACACTGAGTTAGGCCATATATTACCTAATAAAGGAGCACTTGATTTTTGAATTTATATTTATATTTATAAATGGTGTAGCCGTATTTCCATGAAATACTAAAGTTCACAAACGGCCTGCAGTGAGCTGTAAAAGAGTCGACCTGCGTTGAAGACCAACTGGACATCATGACCACCTGACCATCACCTGAGACTGTGTTTGTGTTGTAGGTGGGACACCTTCACGCTGGTTGTTCCAAGGAGGTGACCGTGACCTTCAGGTCCAGGCAGCCAGTGACTCTGAACAATCAGTCCATGATGTTCAAGTTCTGTCAGCTGGACTACCAGGAGCCCATAGACCAGGTGCCAGACTGGGACGACAAGAGGAAGACGATGGAGTTGACCAGCGCCTCAGAACTGACTTCAGAGACACAGTCTCAGGCGCCCATGAAGGTACGCTCCTCATGTTGGACCTCACTCCTCTCCTGGTCCACTTTCTACCAACATGACGGAAATCTGAAGTCTGGTTATTTTTTACTTCAACTTTAACTGGGATTTTAAGGGTTTTACGTAAAATAAAATAAAATAAAAAATCTGAAAAACAGTTGGGACAGAGACAAATTACTGTACCTGCTAATGGACCACAGACATAATGTTCAGGATGGTTCCATCATATGAAGGCTTGGTCCTGTAGAACAAAAAAAAAGATCCTGGATCAGGACCTCTTTAATCCGGCCCGCCTGATGAATTTGAAACTAAAAAAAAAAATACACAAACACCTCATGTTTGTAATGGTTTCTCAACACCTGTGATACTAAGCTGTGTATTCGACCTCTCAGGTCCTGGAACGTACAGTATTTGATCGACTTTAACTTCAGAACGTGTGTTTCCAGGTGGTTAAACCTGAGCCTGAGCCGTGCTGCTCTGTGGTCGACGGCTCACAGCGGGAGCTGGAGTTACGCATCAAAGCCGTCTGCGACTACGCCAAGTTCAGCTACTCTCCGGAAAACATCGTCTTCAAGGAGACCATGCTCTACCAGACCTCAGTCCGACAGTCCGTCCGCACCACACACAGAAAATCATCAAAAAAAAAAAAAAAATCCAAACAGGGCTTCACACCCACAACCTGTGTCTGTGTGTGTTTTCTGTCCACAGGCTCAAGATAACCAACCAGGGTCGCGTCAAGGTCGAATACGTGTGGCAGGTGATCATGGAGTCGGCTCCGCCTGACATCGGTACCGGTGTCAGCCAAGAAGGTATCAGTTTTTATCAGTCATAACCTTAGGAGTAGAAATACCTCGTCTGACCACTAGTCCATACGAGGTGCGGTATCTGTATATTTTTTATTCCTACATTAAAAATTCTCTCCATTTTTTACATCCTGGTGTAATCAAATATGTAAAATAGTTTTGGGAAAAGGATTAAACATATGGTCTGTGGGCAAAAACTGGCCCACTGGGGTGTTAAATCGGGCCCAGGAACTTCGTGTTTTTTTGTAAAATTATTTATACACATTAAATATGAATACATAACAATAATAAATATTGTTATATATAGTTAATTAGGTTTAGATTGTACTGGTCCGGCCCACTTCACATCTAATGAGGTTGTATGCGGCCCAGAATGAGTTGACACCCCTGATTTTAAATCATCAAAAATTATAAATATAGTGTAGTGGAGTCGAAGCCTTAAATACTGAACTGTGTCGACAGGCGAAGCCTCCGTTTCTTCACGTGGAAGCAAGTCGGCAAAGTCCTCGTCTAAAACCCGCCCAGTCAGCGTCAGGCCCGGCGCCGTTTCTGCCCCCGTGACGGAGAGCCTCCTGCCGACGCCCTTCAGTGTGGAGCCCAGACTCGGCGTCATCGAACCTGACTCCTCCAAGACCTTCGACATTTGCTTTTCACCTCTGGAGGTGTCGACATTTTACGGCAGGCTGGTCTGCAGGTGAGTGCTGAGTCATGTGACCCAGTGACGAACTGGGTCAACGTTAGCGTTAACAACTAGTCAATTTGTTTTGTTTTTCCCTTCAGTATTCCAAACCTCCAGGAGGGAGCCCAAGTCCCCCATATCCCAGTCACCGGAGAGAGCACCCTGCCGGACTACCACATCGACCTGGAGGACTCCGACTACATTAGTGGGAACCGCCGCGACCCTGAGATCACGGAACCTCTGGACCCCAACACCAGGATCCTAGAGTTCAACGCTCTTGGTATCTCTCTGCCGTTACAGAGGTACTGGAACCGATGGAGACGGGAAAAAAATAGCCCTGAAGAGCAAAGAGTTTTGTTTTAATTATTTTTCCACATTTTTTTTTGTTTTTTGTTTTTGTTACAGAACATTCGCCTTCCATAACCCCACCAGTGAAACCTACACGTATGAGTGGAAGTGTGATGCTGAAAGTACCGGCCCGTTCCTTTGTGTGAACCAGTCTGGAAGCGTCCCACCTGGGAAGAAAGTGGAGGTAAGAGTCCGCACACACATCAGAATCCTACGGTCCAGACTGACACACTGGACATGAAGCAGACAATCACAGACAATCACAGACAATCACAGACACTAGAGGTTCCTCTGAATGTCTGTAGATGTTGGTTCAGTTAGTCGGTTTAACAAGAAGCAAGATAGTCCTGGGTTTGAATCCCAGATTCCTAGACGGACCACATACTTGGCTCAGCCTGTTGCAGCAGACATGGGATTAAATAAGTTCTAAACAAGTGGTTCCATAGTGCGGCGGTTAGCGTGCCTGTCTCGGCAGCAGACAGCAGGTAGTCCTGGGTTCGATTCCCAGATGAACTACGTACTTGGCGCCCTCAAGAGGCAGCCTGTTGCAGCAGACATGGGATGAAATAAGTTCAACTTGAGTTGTTCCGTAGTGTAGCGGTTAGCATGCCTGTCTCAGCAGAAGAACCCAGGTAGTCCTGGGTTCGATTCCCTGCCAGCCTGTTGCAGCAGATCTGGTGTTAACACAAGGATTTCCCAAGTGTTTGGTCAATAAAGTTGAAAATATTATTATTATTATTGACGTTTCTGTATCATCAACCTTCCATGTGTTCCACTGTGTGTGTGTGTGTGTGTGTGTGCAGATGTGTTTCGAGTACTTGTCAGAGCAGCTGGATGTGGTGGAGTCCCCCTGGAGTCTGGTGGTCCAGCCTCCGTCCCTGGTTCTGCCCTTCCTGTTTGTGGGACTCACCAGAGAACCCAACCTGTACCTCAGCAGACCCTGCCTCCACTTTGGTGAATTAGTCATCGGTATGTACCACAGCCTACTGCACAAATGACACAAGTGGAGGTGCTGGGCTGGGCTCTGGCCTTAACGGGTTTTTGTGTGTGTGTGTGTGTCCGTCTTCAGGTCGACAGGAGGAGAAGAAAGTGGACCTGGTGAACTCGGAGGACGAGTCTTTTTCTTTCTCCTTTTCTCTGTCGTCTCTGGTCGCTGAGGACCAGGTGTCCAGACTCACCGTGGAGCCCATGAGCGGCACAGTGGGGCCCAAAGAGAGGTCCAAAACCCACCGAGCGACTGCAGTGTTGAAGCTAAGTGTCAGCTGGTTCTCATCAACCGTCAACTGTTCTGTTGCAGGTTGCCACTGTCGGTCGTCTTCACGCCCTGCCGTGACGGCCCGGTCAGCATGAGGTTGGTTCTGATGGTGGATAGAAAGACAGAAACTCTGGGTCTCACAGTCAAGGCCAAGTGTTACGCCATGACCACCGTGGTGCAGGTTCAGAATCCGGCCGGGAAAGTGAAGGACGTCAAAGCTAACCGTCAGGACACCTTAGACTTCGGAATGGTCAGAACATTTTTATTGTCATGACTACAATGTGAACCATGTTGATTTTACACTGAAGTAGGGATGTCCGATATTAGCTTTTTGTCGATATCCAATTTGCGGATATTGTCCAAACACTTCCTCGATTCCGATATCAACCGATACCGATATAGTAGGGCAGTGGTGACCTGGTGGTTAAGGATGGTAAGTGCAGCCTGTTCACTAAGGTGATGGGTTAAAGCAGAGTTTCTCAATTATTTTCTGCCATGCCCCCCCTAGGGGACAGAGGTTTTTTTCACCCCTCACAAATCATCAAATTGAAATACTATTAAGGGCCTGGTAATATTTATTTATTTACCTGATATTATTTATTTTTATTTATTTTATTTTATTTTTATATTTAGTTATATGACTTGCTGGCACCAGTTTTCTGCATACAATCCCCTGATTATTAAAATGGATTAATAAAATGAGCTGCAACGCTGCCATCTAGTGGTTTAAACTATTATATACAACTGTTTTCCCCCAAAACTATCTTTAGGTCACACATCATTTGGCCAAACCAAAAAACCATTGCGTTATCAGAATTTTGTTATCGAAAGAAAAAAACAATAACGATTCTTACAGATATTTCATAATTATGTAATAATTATCGGGCCAATATTATCCGACGTCCCTACACATTTTTGTCATTTTTCTGATCCCATGTCCTCACTGTGTCCACAGGTTGGGATTCTGGAGCGATCCACCTTCAACTTCACCGTCAACAATCAGGCTAAGTTCAGCTCAGAAGTGAACTTTGAAGTCACGGGTCCCAGTCCCGTGTTGAAGTACCTGGAGGTCAATCCAAAGGTTGAGAACCACGTCGTCAAAGTGGGAGGACAGCTGCTGTCCTCGCTGTCCTTCTGTCCTCGAGGGACCTGCACTCTGAAGGATGTCCATCTTAGCATCAAGGTAGGTGTCCAATCGAAACTCAAGCCCAGTGACTACAAATATTACTGTAGTAGTATTGTAGTAGTATTAGGGTCAACATTGAGAGGAAAAAAAAAACTAGAATGAAGTCGATAATTGACAGAAAAATACTGTAATATTGCAAGAAAATAAATTGTACGTTTGCAGCAATAAAATGATAATTTAAAAAAGTAAGTTTAAATTCATGGGAATAGTTTTATTATTAATAGTTTGACGATTAAAATGTATCTTTTTTTTTTTTGCTCTTTTAGATCAAATACGGCCCGACATTTAATTTTACCATCGAAGGTAAATCCATGGCTCCTAACCTGGAATACTCCTTCACCAAGTTCAACTTCGGCAAATGTTTCCTGTACCAGCCTGGAATGGTGACGGCTTCCAAGGTTTTAACCATCAGCAACAACGGAGAACTGGAAACCAAGTACGATCAGTGTTTGATCTGAGACCGAAGCTTTCGTTTGGGCTCTGACTCTGAACGACTTTGAACCCCCTGCTGGTGTCTTTGTGCAGTGTGCAGTGTCAGTCGGAGAACACGTCCTGTCTGAAGATCCGCTTCCAGCCCGGTATCCTGGGCCCCGGCGCCGTGATGGAGGTTCCCGTGACCTTCTACCCACGTGAAGTTCGTTTGTACCGCAAGAGGATCAACTTCACCGCCAACGGCAATTTCCCGCAACAGGTGGACGTGGAAGGAGAGGGCGTGGAGTTGAAGGTCGGTGAGACCGAGTCAAACGGCTGAATCTGCATGAAATAACAAATGTTATTTATAGTTAATTATGGTATGATTGTACTGGTCATCAATTACATACAGTATTAATGGTGGTGTTCCTCAGGGTTCTGTTTTGGGCCCAATCATAATATATTGTATTTTCATATTCTCCTTTTAAATGCACTAAAATATATTAATCACAACTACAATGTATTTCTAAAAATTTATATTTTTTGAAGTCATCAGAATTTACAGTTCATTTTATCTTTTGTTGCTTTTCTTTGCGGTCAACAGGTCGACATCGGTCACCCAGATTTAATCACCTTAGTGCGATTCCAATTAAAATGTGTTCGACTGCTATGTATTGATTTCCTTTTCCCTGTGTGTGTGTTTGATAATGTCAGCTGGCTGTAGCCAATCCCTGGGAGAGGATCGTTAAACTGACGTCTGTGTCGGTGGGTCAGAAGGTGGCGAGAAATGTGGTGGTGGTCAATCGTAGCCTCATAGACGTCGCCTTCACTTTTTCACTTAGCGTGAAATCCAAGGTGAGCATCACACACACACACACACACACACACACACATAAAAAAAAGTGCACCCCGCTTTACAGTTGCCCTCGAAGAGCCGGTTGTAACAGTAGGACTGTACAGATCAGTGGTGTTAAACATACGGCCTGGGGGCCAAAACTGGCCCGCTTGGCGGTTCAGGTTCAGGATATTTTTTTTGTAACATTTATATTTCAACATATGTAAATAAATAACTATAAATATCTAATGTACTTCTATCTGTTTGCATAAAAACTTATTGTTATTTCTGGTTAATTGTGTAATGATTGTGACCCGGTGTCCCTACATTTAATACTTTGTCCCCACAAGTATAGCTACACCAGTTGGTCACACACTAACAGGGACTTCCTCTTCTTCAGGACCTGACGTTCACCCCAGCAGGTGAACTGAACCTGGACGCCCGCGGTGGTTCCTGTGTGGTCCACGTCCAGTTCGCTCCTCGGGAGCAGGTTCCTCCTTTTGAGGCCACGCTCCACGCATCGTTCCTGGGCCTCTTACACCCCCTGCTGACCATCCAAGCTTCCTGTCAGTAGTTTGTACTGACGGTGCAGCAGTTCAGACTCAACCATGAAGTGTGTGGTGTGTGTGTGTGTGTGTGTGTGGGTACCAGAGTCTCTGGACCTGATGGTGAGGACAGTTGGGTCAGAGGTCAGGGTGTGTGTGTGTGGGTCCCAGAGTCTCTGGACCTGACGGTGAGGACGTTGGGTCAGAGGTCATGTCCTCCGTCCAACTGTCTTCATGTTCATAAACCCAGAGGAGCCGCGACAGGAAGTGGACAGAACTCATGTTTGTTCACAGTTTACTGTAACTTTTTTTCAAATTTTTTAAATTTTGTAATTAATGTAACAATTGCCTTTGAACGGCAGCAGAAAATAAAACTATAATATTGTAAAGACATAAAAACAGTCATTTTAATTAAATCATTTGTTTATTTATTTCTCTGATCCTCGTAGTATTCAGGTGTAGTATTTACAGTACATACTGTTGAGAACTGTTTGGATAAAAGATTGAGGAAATGATACAGTACAGTACAGTACACTATAGTATTGTGTAGTTCAGTAAAGTATAGTATGGTGTACGTAGTACATGAAGTACAGAATAGAATATTAAGGTAATGCATCACTAATAAAACACCAAGTTACTGTGTATACTGCATAGTTTAGTGTATAGTACAGTGTAGTATTGCAGTTTAATACTGATGATAGAATAGATTATAGTATTGAAAGAGGTATAGTATATGAGTGTGTATTTTTGTATTAAAATATAAATATATTATGACTTTTATAAGTGATACAGATAAACTGTAGATACACTGTATTGCAGTACAGTACGCAGTACAACATGGTATATTGTAGCATTGGAGGGTATTGAAAGTATATTGTCAATTATATCCCTGTGTAATCCTCATATTATAATATAGTTTTTGGTACAAGTTTGGATATGGATTCGGCCTGTCTAGCCTCGTCCTCTCCACACGAGGGCAGTCATGTCCATGTTTTTTCTCTGATGCCCATAAAGGGCTGTTTTTTTTATTTCTGTTTATCGTCTTTTCCTTCTTTCACAGTATTTCACAACATGCAGAGAGGACCGAGTACTGTGAGCCCAGAGCAGCAAGTACTGTTATCCCTCTCTGTCCCCCTCTCTCTCTCCCTCTCCCCCCCCCCCTCTCTCTCCCTCTCTCCTTTCAGTCACGCACCGTTTTTAAAACCACATCATTTTCTCTGTTTGTTTGAATCATGTTGTAGATGTACAGATGAGGACCTCTCTCTCCCGGGGATCTGGGCTGGAGATCGGAGTACAGATCCTGGAGCCTCTCGTTTGTTTTGAGCTACAGTCATCATCTCTCTCTCTCTCTGTGTGTGTGTGTGTGTGTGTGTGTGCTCCTGTCTCCCCCAGGCAGTGATGTGTAAAGAACTGAACCAAGAAAACGTGTACAAAATACTTTTCAGCAGCAGCAGCAGCAGCATGCTGGTGTGGTATTTATGTGTATTTTTTTTCCACTTCTACTTCAATACCCCTGGATATTAGGACATGCAAAGGTAAAGGATTTAAAACATGATGCAATAAGGGACATATAATGTTAGATATATTATTAATATGTATGAATACACACATATATACTGTATATATTTCTATACTGTATATGAATATATTAATATGTATGTATATACATATTAAAAATGTATATTAATAATAATCTAATCATATTTAATCAATTTATAGCAGGTGCTGTAATGTGGTGTCCTGACCACAAGAGGGCGTAGTGTTCTCATTCCCATGGTACGTTTGGAGCTTTTCCATCTGGCTCTTCCTCACACTCCAAACACAGATTGAACAATAAGTTTATTGCACATCAGAGATATTAATATTATTATTTCTTTTCTCTCTTTTTTTTTTTCACTTTTTCTTGGACCGCCGAACTCCTCTGGACCAGTTGACGATCAATTCTGGGTTCGACTTCCGCTGGAGAGAAACCAACGCTCGATGCTAATTCTGTTTCTGGAAGGAGTCTAATCAAAAGTAAAGCAGTGTTTGAGCGCCCCCCTGTGATGCGCGTGAGTAACTCTCCAATCAGCGCAATCACCTCTGGATGGAGATCACCTGGTGAGCCGCTGGCTTGTTGTTTCATTTTGTTGTAACGTGTGCGACTAAACTCTTTCCTCCTTCCCTACTGCCGCCTACTGGACGTCGGTAAAAAAGCAAAGATGAAAAAAAAAAAAAAAAAAAAAGGAAATTGAAGGCAGACTTTCGTGACGTCATAGAACACACTTGAAAAAAAAATTCTCAAGGTAAATATTAGCACGCGGTTTCGAAACCAACATGCTAACACGCGTGCCGCGTTGCGTATAATTCCCGATGTTTTGAGCTCAACTTGCTACAGCGCGTTAACGATGCGACTAGAACATTTTAGTCCGTTTATTTTTATATATTTTTTCCAACAATTCCAAGTCGCTCCAGAGCTTCTTCCAGTGACTTGCATTTTGTAAATAAATGAATAATTTACGACACCGATGCCGGTAATGAGTAATGACTCCAGACCGACGCTGTTAACAACTATTAGGCTCAGCTGCTGCTGCCGTTTACAGTGGACCGGATGTGGAACCACTACAGATCAGTGGTGTTTAGTGTTCGTGGATTATTTGAACATTTTACAATAAGTCAATTCCTGCATTTTCTACTTTTACCACTAGTCTCTTTATCCACACACAGCCCCGGGGTTTCTGTGATGGAGGGTGTGCACTCTGGACTGGTGCTGTGATGGAGGGGGGTTGGGGGGGTAAAGGGTGGAGGCTACCCTCCCCTTCTCTCTCTCTCTCTCACACTAACTCTCTGTCTCTCTGTCTCTCTCTCTCTCCCCCTCCCTCTCTCACCCACCCACCCCATACGGCGCAGCATGAGCGCTCCACAGCAAAAGGATGTGTGAGCAGGCAGCGCGCTACTGTAGGGACGGAGTCCACAAACTGCTCAACAAAGAACAAGCCAAACTTCGAGCCCAGGAAACACGCGAGCAGCCGAACCCCGTGGCCGGTGAGGACAGCGAGTCCGCGACGGCAGCACAGTCCGGAAACAGCGGCGCACAGCCCGGTGGAATCGACGGGCTCGTCCGCTGGATCGTCACCAAGATGAGCGACAACAAGAACATCTCCAGCCGGGAGTACGCCTCCAGCAAGGAGGAGGTGGCCGTGGCGCAGGAGCAGTTCTTCGCCCCGGAGCCGCGCAGAGGCATCTCCGTCATCCTGGATGTGAGTATGGACGGAGGGAGAGAAGAGGGAGAGAGAGAGAGGGCTGGACGGAGGGAGGTCTGCTGCTGACACCGGGCCCGGTCT